GTCATATAATATTCAATTAGATATTATATATATTGTATTTCTAAGTGGTGAATGAACGTCTGCCTAACAAATAGAAAGTTTCTCAGGTCTGCTCCATGTTTGCCGAGCTCCTCCCCTGAGATCACCTCCCCTCGCAGCCATACATCAAGCTGTGCTTTTGATCAACTGCTGTTCTCGCAGTAATGCAGCTTGACTGGTCGGACCACATCACGCAAATTTATCTTTCCAACGTCTGTGTGTGCTCACGTGGGGGTGAAGCCAAGGCTGCAAATGCGGAAAGTGGTCCGTACAGATGTGCACATGGAAGGAGACGCAGCGGCACGGTACAGAATGTGTAGCTAAAGCTTTTTGCTTCTGTACGTATGCACTCGTTAGTTGAGGTGAACTCACAACACAGCTGGATTAGACCCATGGAGCAGGTGAGTGTTCTCCTGCTGCAGGATCTCAGTGTTTGTATTTCAGCGACAGAACTGAACAGAAGAGGTGCTGCAGCTCAGCCACTGACTTTTCCTTGGATCTGAATCCAAAATATGAACACTGACAAAACTGGTGTCGTCGGATGTGTAATTTCACACTCGTGTGTGTTTGTGCTGCAGGATTTCTATGATGAGCAGGGGGTGTTTTCCGAGAGTTTCTGGCCACAGAGCGAGCCTCCTCGAGCCATGGCCTTCAACCCGAGGGGAAGGGTCAACAAACCTCTGACTCCACCCCCAACCACACAGTCCATCAACAACCAGGTTTGTGCAGTAACTGTCTGAGATCCATCTGTGTGGTTCCATCTGAAGCAACATGATGGAATCATTTAATTCAGAATCAATTCTACACTGACCTGGAACATGGAGAATGTTTCCTCTTTCATTCCCACTCCTCGCCCTGAACGTCGATGTAACATCGGTGAGTGGGTGTTTAACCCCAGCCAGTGATTTACACTGTGAGTCAGGCCGAGTAAGTCCCAAGTGTCTGATGCTCGGCTGTAGATCATTCACCGAGACCTCAAATTCATTAAAAGCCAGGACATTTTTTAAATATCAGGAATTCTAAGCTAAAGCAGCTGCTCTTCAAGTTCCAGACGCCGGCGATCGTGAGGAATATTCTGCTTTTCCACGGAGCAACTGATTGGACTCAGAGAAAAACAGGATTTATTCAAACTCACAATCCGTTGTTGCTCTGAATTAAAAATGACTTTATTCTGAAAGTGGCTTCTAACTTTTACAGAACATCTTGTCCTAACGTCTTGAGACGTGCACTGTCAGAGCTGAAGCTCATTGTGTACAAACGGTTCCTTAACCAATTGTTTGAAAAATGAACGAACCCCTCTGCTTAAAAACTTAGTTGTGCTCATTGTTTGTTCTGTCGGATGTTTGAGCATCGGCGTGCAGAAAGATGTGTGTGTGTCAAAACCGGAGCAATTTTCTTTTCACGTTTCATCTGCTGAAGGGGAGAAATGTCTCTGTGCTCGCCGTCAATCATTTTTTTAAAGACCTGTACCAACAAGCATGATTTTTGTGACACCACAACTAGTTTAAAGCCGAACGTTCTCCGGTATGTGACTCATGTAACTGTGACGTGGACGTGCGATGAGGATGGACACGGTGAAGTTAGATTATTTTACTCATTTTAAAACCAGGTAATTGAGCAGATCATTATTTCAAGCTGTGAATCTTTACGTCTCCACACATGCTAGAGGGGGAAAAAAAACAGGATATGGTAATTAAATTAAAGAAGCTGAACGTTTCCTTAAGATGCTTCATTTGGCCAAAACATCTGCTGCGTTTCTTCTGGTTTCTGTCGTGATGTGTGACAGAAGTGCAGCAAGAAAATATAACAACGACACGAAGAAACACAGGAATCCATCTGACGGCTTCAGTTTTAATGAGTCTTTTTTTTTTTTTTTCACACAGTTTCACTGACAGAGGTGATGATTTGACAAGTTTGATAGAAAATGTGGAAAATTGTAAATTATAATTTACTTATCTGGTGACACTTGGTAATCAAGTGTTTTCTGAATTCGTGCTTTTAATGTAAACGGATTGATTGACAGGAAAGAGAATGAGTCTTGTTTACATATTACACATAATTATAGTTTTATTTTCATGGATTGAATATTTTGCCTCCCAAGATGAAAAGTGCAAAATACAATTAATTAAAGATGAATGAATTAACCCATAATAACACATTAAAAATATAAACTGATCTTATCTATGTTTTAATGACTGTTTATAATATGGAATAAGAATAAATATCTTGATTCCGATGACGTATTTTTCCTCTTCAGCTCCTGTTCCAGTACCCGGTGAGCCAGTCGCAGCCCCCGCCATTCTACGTGGGTGGGCCCATGGGCGGGATTGACAGCATGACGGGGACTGAGCCCAGTCAGCAGCCTCCGCCCCCAGCGCCGATGACCCCAGCTCCACCTCCCTCGACTTCCTCCTGCTCTGCTGGCCCCTCCCCTTCCTCCCAGGGATCTGAGACCTCGTTTGACTGCACGCACTGTGGCAAATCTTTACGTTCCAGGAAGAACTACAGCAAGCACATGTTCATCCACTCTGGTAAGACACACCTCCTTCTCCTGCGTTTCACCTTAACTTGTTAAAAGCAGCCGCGTCGATGGTTTCTGCGTCTCCAGGGTTTTAGGTTCGGCGTATCTTGGCTCTACATGGATCCAGTTCCCAAGTGATAGACTGGTCCGGTTTGCTACAGAACCTTAAATGTTAACGACCGACTTTGAATTGTGTCAAACTTTGCCTTTCCAGGCCAGAAACCTCATCAGTGCTCCATCTGCTGGCGCTCCTTCTCCCTGCGTGACTACCTCCTCAAACACATGGTGGTGCACACCGGCGTCAGGGCCTTCCAGTGCTCCATGTGCGGCAAGCGCTTCACCCAGAAAAGCTCGCTCAACGTGCACATGCGCACCCACCGTGCCGAGCGCACCTTCCAGTGCAACGTGTGCCACCGGGCCTTCACACACCGCACCTTGCTGGAGCGCCACGCCCTGCAGCACGCCCACCACAACCCCCAGGGCCAAGGCCAGGGGCGTGGAGCCGACATGACCTCACCTACCAAGCACAGTCCTCCGGCTCTGGGAGGGCCCTCAGGTATGGCTGGCACAGCTGGCATGGTCGGCAGCATGTCCAACATGCCCAGCCACGGAGCTTCCTCCACCTAGAGGAAGGGGAGGGGAGGTACGGGGGAACAGGGGAGTGAGTTAGCGAGCCCATCCCTTATTTGGTCCTGACAGCCTTGCTGATCTTTTCTTCTGGAGGTTCCCGTCGTTTTAGTGTAACACCACCTTCAATCAGGGTTCCTACACAAGGCTGGAAGTTTTAACATTTCAGTAAATTAACGAGGGGGGTCGGAATTGCACAAAAATCTTGTAAAAGTTTGGGAGGGGAGGGGGAGGGGGAGGGGGTGAATGTAGTTCCCTTTTCAGAAACCCGTTTTAAATAGTTGTAACCCTGCTGTCGTTTCCTGTGACGTGACATTAGTTAGTGTGACGACGAATAATCAAGCTGTGGAGCAACAATCACGCACCTTGAAGAACAGCCATCAAAAGTCCATCCAAAAAGAGAATGTGTAGGAACCCTGGTTCAGAGACCAGAGTCACCAAAGAGGTTAGGAAGACAGGGCGGGGGCGGGAGTTCGTAAGCGGAGGGTTGGGCGGAGTCATCCAGGTGGAGATTATGGGTATTGGGTAATAATGAGATGCAAGTTGCGGAAACAAGGGGAAAGGGGGGGGGGTTCACAGGGTTTCATTCACCCTCAATTCATTTAATTCATGTTGAGAACTTGATTTAGTTTCCTGCTGCAGCAACGGGTTCGTCTCAAGATCTCAACAAAGCAGTAAAATGTCAAGTTCTGATGAAAATCCACCAGAAAATCAGATCGGGTCTAAAAACTGTAGTAACTGAAACGACATCATGTTATATTCAACAATTAAACCTGCAAAAAGTATCCAGAACTTTACTGAAGCATTCACACAGAACGTGAAGAGTCATGTTCACACAGTGAGACACACAGAATCTGAAATGAAATATTCCAGCCGGTCATCAAACTGGCCACTATCCTCAGGTAGAGCTGGAGCAGACGGGGAAGTTCCCGAGCTGTGTGAACCTCGATTTGATCACATAGACACAAACGACCTTTGTGGCTTCACTTCCACAACACAGCAAAACTTCAGCCAGCAGTCCGTCCTCTTCTTCTTCTTTCAGAGAACAGGCGGGTGGTGGTGAGTTGTATTTACTTGTTTTGATCTCAAACCGACCTGGAGACTTAAGAGACTTGGAGAAAAATAAGCTTTGTATTTGGTGTGAACGTAGAATTTGTCCCAGAATTGAAAGAGTTCCACCAGATCAAGAAGGAGTCTGAAGACATTTTTACACAAGAATAGTTCTGAGCTGATCACAATTTAAAAACTAGGAGGACTAAAGTAAAAAAAACATCCTGGATCTGCCTGTTTATCCAGGTTGGCTCCAAAATGTAATTTGTTTCAGCGTAATCCTGCTAAATCACAAACCAATGCAGGTGACTCCACGTTCAGTCGATATAATGTTGTTTAGTCCAGTTTAAACTCTTTGTACCGGAACATAAAAACGTGCACGTGTCCTACAGTGTTTCACTGGGCGCCATTAAAACGCTCGATATCCACTGTGGATTAAGAATTCATCCAGATGAAGGAGGACAGTTTTGCTTCTCATTCATTCTTTAAGAAAAAATCTCCAGGCAGAGAAAATGCTCTTCATGAATTAATTGAATTGAATGTGAATGGAGGCTGACGCCATTCAGGAGCAGGGGGGGGGGGGACAAAGACGGTTGTTGATGAATGATTCGATGAAGAAGGAAAGTAGTCTGAGCGGAGAGGGGCTACAGCAGGGAGGGGAGGGGGGAGGGAGGGGGGTGCAGCATGGGAGGAGGAGGAGGAGGAGGAGGAGGAGGCGGCGTGACGCACAGCAGTGTGAATGAAATTCACCATCATCCATCAGACAGCTTTGTAACATTTTCCACAGGCGCCACCGGTCGGCCCCAGGATCATATACCTCGTACCAGGACGAGCCCCCGACGGCTCGGAGGGACACTATTTTCTCATTTTAGATATTTGGGAAACATTTTAGCATGTTTTACACACACACACACTCTCTCTTACAGACACACACACACACCTACAATTACCTCGGTGGTCCAAAGACAGGCATTATGCTTCACATCTTTAAGCTACATCAAACGAAGAAACAGTGAAAACTAAAGCTACGATAGATCCATTTACGTTTTTAAAGCTTACTAAAGTACTTCTATGTAAAATTCCTGTACATCGCTATAACGCTCAGTTTGTTCTTTGTTGCTCATGTGATTCTTTGATGCGGAAACAGGTCAGAACATTTAAAAAAAAAGAATACAACTTTTAAAGTGAAAGAGCCATTCACAGGAAGTTAAACTTGGTTTAATAACTTTGACAAATCAGTGACTTTTATCAGGATTTTTATTGAGTGTTTGGTTGTGTTTGTCTTTCAGGGCTCTGGTTAATAATAAATGGGAAGTGTTTGTTGCTA